AAAAATTGTTCAAAGACTTAATCATTCCAAACACTAAAGTTCATTGGGTTTTTTTAGATTTTTCCCTTTTTTTAATTTGTTTGGTTTACCTGTTACCCAGGTTACAAGTTATATTTTTAAAGAATGAGGACCTATTTAACAGGTTTAAGAAAGTTTAAGAATTTATTTAACAAGTTTTCAAAAGTCCAATGATTTATTTGTTTCAAAAAATAGTTCAAGGACTTAATCAATCAAAACACTAAAGTTCATGGGGTTTTATTGGACTTTTCCCTAAATATAAATAAATCTAATTCCAAAATAAATCTCTAAATTACTACTTTTATTTATTTCAAAATAAATATTTGTCTTTGAAAATGAATATTTACTTTTTTATTCTACTGTTTAGTATAAGATAAAAGAAATTTCCTAAAATTCTTTTTTTTTAACTAAAAAGTGTAATAAATACACATTATTAAAAGGTTGTTTCTTTGTCATTATGAACATTCAAGGGTGTTTGAATTATTGTTGTTTTAAAGCCTTTATTTAATTGTGATTATAAGGTGAGTTTTATCTTAAAAATTTTATTTGATTGGTGTTGAGACCAAACCCTATGGTTCAATATGTGAGTTGGGTTAAAAATGTTTATATGTTATTTTTAGTATAATATTGTGTTTTGATATATTATTATTAATTGGTTGGAATAAAGGTGTCGTAATCCGGATATGTGTATTTTAGGATAAGGGTGACATAATCATGATAAACGTATTTCTGGATAAGGGTGACATAATCATGAGAGACATATTTGGGGATAAATGTAACATAATCAAAAGATGTGTATTATGGGATAAATGTGGCATAATCAACTTATGTTAAAACTGGGATTTTGATCATGTGAAGAACCGTTATCGCATCTTCATGATGTGATGACCTTGGTTTATCGAATCCTATTGATGCGATGAGATGATTTTATCGCATTATTGTGATGTGAGAAAGGGTGTAAGATGTGACAAGTTGGGTTATTGCATCCTATTGATGCGACAAGAGGTATTTATCGCATGTGTTGGATGTGATGAATTGGGTTATAGCATTTGGTTGATGCCAAAAAATGGGGTTATCTCATCCTTGTGATGCGAGAAAATTATGGTCGTATCTATATGATGCGAAAGTAATGAGCATGGAGGCGGTGAAAACCATGAAGCATAAGAACCATTGACCGGAGCTAGTTGATGTCGCACCCTATATCTTCTTGGTGCCTCGTATAAGTCGGCTCCTATAACCGCTTTATCCTGAGCTATCTGATGCCACTACCTGCTCACGCAACTCACTTTTAGGATCTCGTATGATAAGTTTTCGTCCGACAAAACATCCACCGCCATCTCCTTGATCCTTGCCTCCATCACCAGAATCGAATCTTCTCCTGATGGTTTGATCTTCTTCATCTTGCCATCATCAACGTTGATACGTCCGTTGATCGAATATTTTGATTTAGGCAATGATCTCTGCATTTGTAGAGATAGAATCAAACGAATTTCATTTCTCGTCTCTCTCTTGATCTTAAATAAGAATGGAGGATTTGCACTTTGAAGGATTTATGGGTCTCACCCTTAACCTGGTTTGCTTTTGGTGGAGGTCAGGAGGACCATGAGAGATATATAATATGTATTTACCGTTTCTATGTTTTTAAGAGAAAAGTGAAAGGACTATATTACCCCTAACTTAACAGAGCAATGGTTAGTGGCTTTATGACAAGGGACCAAATTTGCCACAAAAATGAAACCACAGTAACCATCATTGTAATTATTTTATTATAGGGACCCAATCCAAATTTCACTTAACCACAAGGACGAAATTTGTAATTTACCCTATAGAGAAACAAGATATATTTATAAAAACTGTGTGTAACCATGGATGGTTTAAAGTATTAATGGTAATTAAAATAAATTTTCATGTATGGAAGTTTTCTGTGTACGTTAAGAATCTGTGGACAAAAATGGATTAAGTAATTGAAATTCTTTAGGGATTAATAAAAATTAGAAGCGTATTCGTGCAATGCATTGAGATATATTTCGATTTCAATGTTTTGTTTTTATCTATGTCGATATAATACAATTTTATGTGGTTTTGAGAAAGCAATAATGCTTTATTTTTGAATAAAATATAAATTTAAAAATATCATATAAAATTTGCAAAAAATATATCAATATTAGTATCAAATTAACTATTTAAAAGTTTTTATTTATGTATTTTTTTAATTCAAATTTTTTATTATAATTTAATTTATCGTAACGAAGTAACTTAAT